AACATAGCATGTTCAACCACTACACCGCAGAAGCTCACACTATAGCACAGAATAGCAGCCATATATAGCGCTCTTTGCTGGACTCTGAGAAATTCTTCACCATCCTCTCCTGTACCATAGCAGAACTTGGACATCCACCACTAATACCACTATTCTTGAGCATTATCTGGATATTGTACCTCTGTATCACTACTGAAACAAGCACATTGTAACAACTTAAAGTCTTCTATCACATGTTATTGCCCTTCTTCTAATAGACTATAAAGCTGCTTCTACAGCCTTAAAACAGACTGGTTTACAACTAGTGTATGGATGTCTATGATGGATATTATTACATAAGAAGTATACAAGATGTGTGACTGATAGAACACCAATTGCTCAAATTGAGGCCTGAGTATACTGAAGTCAACATGTAAAGTCCAAGTTGTGGCCCAAGTACCCCAAGTACCCTAAGTATATAGACTTGGGCCAAGTACACGGACTTGAGTCCAAGTACATAAACTTGGGCCCAAGTATGGGTCCAAGTCCGTGACGTTTTCCTGATGAATGGTATGGGCTTGATACTGGTTATATACAGAAGCTGTACGATTCCTGTCACAGCCAACGAGCTGTGCCACCAGATAAACAAAGACAAAGCTTACTGGTGAAGGGGTTGGTGCTGAGAGCGAAGCAACCACAAGTGACACAGCAAGAGATGATGCAAAGGTGTAGATTCCCTAGACTAGAAGGGGCAGTGAAAGGTAGGGCTGCTAGCTACCTACAGAAGAGATGGGTGATCGACGAGAAGATCAAGTCTGAGGTTCCCTGCCTCAGACTCCCTACTATATATACTAATACAACGGTGCACAGACCAGGTACCTACAACGGTGCACAGACCAGGTACCTATTGACCATCGTTTGGTCAGAGTTCTCTGCCTCATGTCCTACCCTCTGACCTGCCTCATGGTGACCTTACGACTAATACCTGAGTCGTGCCGAGTCCGGACCTCTCCCAATGAGTAAGTGCTCCTGCTGTCACATCAGTCACCTGCCTGTGAGTGAGGATGGGCGCTCCTGGCCGTCACGAGGTCTGGAGTTCGATCCTGGCCCCTCCACTTTCCGATACGAGTTGTCCGCGGTCAAGGTGAGCGTCTGTCCCAGTACACATGACCCCCAGGTCACGTGGCACGAGAAAACTGTGACAATTCCATTCCCCATCGTGTTGAGGCTCTCAAGGCTGCTCATGGACTGCATACACGCTACTAGGCTTAGCATCAAGATTTTGTAGACTTACGGTTAACTTTCGTCGCTCGTTACCACCTTGATACGTACCCCTAACTTGGGGTCTGTCCAATGTCACTCAAATAACCTGGGCAATCCTGCGCCTTTTGTCGCGAGAGTCTTTGCATGATATCAAGACTTGTGTGGCTACATAGATGTACAATAAGCAGCCCAAAACATAGCACAGGTCGTCCGTCGTACAGAGATTTCATTCGCGCAAAGCGCCGGTGCACTATTTTCGGCAGTCACTGTAGCTGGACAAGCTGGCTCAGCTTGGCGGCAACACTACTTGAGGACGCAGGACGCAGGACGCACTCAGAGCTCATTTGATGGATGTGATGGGCTAGCCGAACCTGCCGCATATGGCAAGGTACCAACCTCATTTCTCGTGCCCGTTGTTTTCCAAGGGGTCTGTCGTGTCCCAAACCTCGCAGAAAAGTGTGAATTGCAAGTATGTTGAGGACGAAAGCTTTCCGCGTCGATTGACACTACCCTCGAGGCACTTTGTGAGGGGGAAGGAGTGTCATCGTCGCTCGAGGGGTTCCGAAGGCGAGCTTGTCGGCTAGTCTCGCTTAGCCCATCACCTCCATCAATGGCCTCTGAACGCGTCCTGCGTCCTGCGTCCTCAAGAATTGAGCGGCCCTAAGTATTGTCATTCGTCTCATGTTGGCTTCAGGTCGCCTTGACAACACTTTGCGCCCACGATCTAGTTAGACTCGAACCAGTTGAACGGAACACATCAGTGGAGTTCGAAAGGAGGGTAGTGTTCTGTAACGACTGGTCAAACTGGGCGCCCTTCTGGCAGGGTGCCCATATTTGGTACCCCGTGAGAGAACTACCTTGGTGAAATCGCCATCCAGCTGCCTAGGGAAAACGCGCGCCGCAGTCTTCGAGATCGTCCCTCCTCAAATAACCTACCATTTGTGCATACAATCAATACATGTGTCATTACCAGTCATCTATATCTAATGAAGGGTCTTCCTCCTCTGCAAAGGCCGCCCGAGGCTCGTATTCATCGGTGTCGAAGTGCTGCCAATAATCCTCTTCATCTCTGTGTGTCCAAAGTGTATGCGGCATTGACTGCGCGCAATTGTGTGCCTGCAAAAAATGTCAAAAATATACAACAAGGAGCATTGAATACTCACATCTGGGAGCACAACGCCAGACAGCTCCAAGGAGTTCACTGTTGTCAGGGAGGATGGGCGCGAGGAAGGAGGACTGGCAGGAGGAGTGGTGAGAGGGGTTTCGCGACGGCGGCGCTGCCATTGTTTGAACATCTTGTTGTACTCGAGGAGGGGACCCGGAAGCTGCTTGAGGCCTGCCGCCACGATGTTAGGTACCTCGGTGTTCGTCATGTCGTGGAGCACGTGCCCCGGTTCCACACGGAAGATGCTGTTGTTGCGCATCAAATTCGTCAAGGAGTCGATATCCTTGTGGAGGCTGGGAGATTGGTGTTTGTTGCCCAGGCGCGCGCCGAGGGTGTCGTTCATCTGGAGTGCAAGCTGCCGGAAGACGGAAATACATGGGGAGATGGTCTGCAGCCATTCCCATGACGCATTGCTGCCCTGTGCCTTGTATATAACCTACAGATCATGTTAATATTAAAAAATATGCATGCCATGCAGCTCACCTTGACCCAAAAGTTCATGTGTTCTTGAAGGAGATCAACCGGCACCCAGGCATTTGGTTTCCCGGTGGGGTTGACCAGCCAATTGTTTATCATGACAGCTCTGCTAGAGAGTTACCGACGGAGCACAGCTCATTGACATTCAGAGCACTGGGGACTCACCGAAGGGGTGCAGGCCACACGCGCGTCAGATTGTGGATGAGGTGAAGGCATTCATGGGCGTACTTGAGACGTCCGCTTCCTCGGTACATGAGCGTGAGTATCTTGAGGGTGCAAATAATTCGGCCGGAGTACCCGCCCTTGATGGCGTCAGTGAATTCGTGAAACACCAACGCGTCGCGCAGAAAGAGAGACACATTTTCAAAAACCATGTCGCCACTCTTCAGTGGTAGGGCTAGTGGGTCAACGGGAGGGGTTGGGGCGGCATTCGGGGGGGTGCTTGAGACGTAGTGACACATGCGCTCGGCGAGTTCATCCCGCCACACGAGTCGGAGTTCGGCGACTGCGTTGGGGCCCACATAGCGGTCGTAGATCTTGGTGACATCCTTCTGGAGGTTGCTGAAGGAGAGGTCCGTGGTGTACTTGTCCAGGGAATCCACGCCCGAGACGAGCTCAAGGCAGTGTAGTGTAGAGGCGGTTAGAACAGTAAATATTAGGTCCCGGCAGACACGATATGGGGGAAGGGAGGATGTGACTATGGGCTTACAATCTAGGACTGTATTAAAGAAAGAGAGAGAGGCGGGATTGCGATGTCCTGCGGTGGGGTCGCCAAAGTGCGTCTCGATGATGCCGTGGGTGATGGCCATCTGGTGGTGAAAAAAACCCGGCCCAAAGACGATGTTGGCGTAGGACCGTCCAATGTCCTCGTGGCCCGCACGGTTACCTATTATTGTACGCATACGGGCAATGGAGAGCTGGTCGCCAAAGGTGAGCGCTGGGTAACCCGCAAACATGGGCCTTCGACGCGCGTACTCGAGCTCCGCAAACATAGTGTCGAGAACCTCGGCATTCCCAGTTGTGTTTGACTTGTCGATGTTCATGGCTGGCAAGGGGTAGGTATCTGTCTTCTGCAGGCGCATTTGGTCGTCCGCTCCCGGGAGGCAAGCATCCAGGTCGGGGCGGAATCGAGCGAAAAGATCTGAGCTGTTGACAATGGTACGGAGGAGCGCGTGCTCGAGTGAATGGCGGAAATTTTCCGCTTCATGCGGGGTGTGACAGATATCGCCAACTGACAAGGGTCCCGCTGAGTCAAAAGCGGCAAGGAGATCTGCAGTTTTTAGGTCGTCGGGGGCCGCGTTGTCAAGAGGGAAGACCGTGGCACAAGTGCCATTTTCCTGAGTGTCCTTGCGACCCAAGATTTGCTCTGCGACCTTGAAAACCATGTTAATATTATCATAGACGTGCCCCAGCAGTGTACTCTCCCTGCAGACACGAGTAGAGTGACGACAGGACTCCGAGATGCGTCGGAGTAAACCAGCCCCACGCGACAGTAGGCCTGATGCGCGGGCGGGCGCTTCAACCTCGCGCTCAGATGCGAACGCGAGCGGGCGCTCGATCGTGTCTTCGATCGCGCCTCGCAGAGCTTGACTCTCCTCGCGGTGCTTGCGAGTTGCAGTCTGGTCGCCTTCATCTCTGGAACTGGCAGCCTTGCCTTGGTTCTGTGCTGCCTCGGTATCGCCGAGCTCGTCAATTGTTGTCTCACTCTCGGACCGACCATCGTCATTGTTGTTGTCGTTCTGGTCGCTCGCCGGTTTCCAGTCGAGGTCGTCCTCATCGCTCTCTTCCTCGATTTCGGCAATAGTCTGTGTTTTCGGTTCAGACATTTCTGTATTGCGACTTCCGGCTACACTTGGGTAACTACTGCAGACCCCGATGTTCGACATGATGGAGATGAGCTGGCGCGACGCCCCGCTGACATACATGTACAGGCCAACAAGATGCCTCGCGAGGCTATTGTTCTGGCTGCGCTCCCCTAACAGGGTGGTCATTGCAAAGCCAATGCGCTACAGATTTTTTTCGGTGAGCAAATCATTCATTTGGTTGTTTCGACACATACATTTTCCTTGCGGGTTTCTCTCTTGAACGCCCGCGCTTTTTCGCGGCTGCCCTGCGCAGCCTTGTTCGCTCTCATCTGGCGCCTGGTCGTGCTGAATGAAGATAGGAGGCTTATCATTGTAGGACACAGGTCACGAATTTGTTGGTGGATGGAAGAGATACTGATGGTGAGGAAGAGATCCCCCGTAATTGCTTGTCGCCTGGTCATGAGCACCCCCTCTCGGGTGACGGCATCGGCTTCCTGGCTGACCACTGTCCCTAGGTACCTCAACGCCCAGGTATGAAGATCTTGTCGACCGCTGCGAGAGTTCCTGGTCGACCATAGATCGAGGATGCGCGCCTGTTGGAATCTGTAGAATTCACACTCTAGTATCGGTTGGATGGTGTAGTGGTAACACCTCCCAGCGCATATGGGATGACCCGGGTTCAATCCCCGGTCTGACCAACTTTTCATTGTTCAACAGGTTATGAGCCCTGTGTGACGCTTCGAAGGGAGCAGGGTCAGAGAACCCCCGCCTCGGGAAATGTGCCTGAGGGTAACTTCATTTGGAAAAGTTGGTTCCTTGATTGATCACCAGAGTGTGACTTCAGG